ATATGAAGCCGCACGGAAACAGCTAGTGTTTTCATATGTGCAAAAACATTATATTCTCAGTAATATTACGTACTAAATGAGTCAGGTCCCTACAATGTATGTTGGGTCGTCAATTCGTCAGTCTTATTGTAAACACGACGCGGTACACACGCGCTCAAACATCAGGTTTCAAAAGTGAAATTTCGACACACGGATATTCGCCGTACAAATAAGGTAAGGCCAAAAGACAGTGTGCTATTTACCTCTCCATACTTAATTGTCGTAAATTCTTATACTTTACTTTGCCAAGTGATGTTATTTATTTTTTTGTAATCATATGTACCTATAGTATCGTTTTTAATATGTTTTTATTAATTGAAATCCCTTTTTATTTGTTATTAAAAGTTTTTATTAAATAATATTCGTATAAAGTTAAAATATATTCGACTTAAAAGATCAGTTTTATAGAAATAACATCTTATAATATAAATGCGAAAGTTTAGATGTATGGATGTTAGAGTTTAGCCTAAACTGCTGAACGGATCTCCCTGAAATTTGCTATAGAGGATAGTCTGGAAGAACACATAGACTTTCATTTCTTTCCACGCGGACGAAGTCGCGGGCGAAAGCTAGTTTAAAAATAGAAACTTTAAATAGACGAAAGATACATTTGTACAATAAATTATAATAAACTTACGAGTGTAAATATTTTACCCAAATGTAAAAAAAACGTTAATCTTACTAATATTATAAATGCGAAAGTTTAGATGGATGGATGTTTGTTAGAGTTTGTAGCCTAAACGGGTAAACAGATCTTGATTAAATTTGGCATAGATGTAGAGGATAGTCTGGAAGAACACGTAGGCAACTTTGTTTTTTTTTTAAGTCAAAGAAAACGGACTCGCGTAAGTAAGTACGTAATAAAATATTAGTCAAAAGTTTCTCTTACATTAAAGTAAATATTAATAGATCTTTAGATATCTCTCTCTGTTTATCTTCTAAGAAATATGTCATTGTCGAAAACTGTCTATAAAAAAGTTAAAATGCGAAATAGATTACTTAAAGAAGTCTAGACAAACAGGTCATTAACTGTTTTAGGATTAGCATATTCGAAGTTTTAAAAGTTTAAATAAAAACAATGAGGCATCGCATATATTGTTAACATACGATTTAATTTAAAAACGCTGACAACACTAGAATAGGGCTGCTAATTTCTAGAAGTATGAAAACTAAAAAGAAATAACACCAAAAAGACAATCAACTTTTTGTTTCAACAAGTTTGACTCGATTTGACATAAACAAGAAAGTATAAGAATGAATGTGGATGGCTACAAAGATAGAAGACTGAAGGAAGTTTGTATGGATTGTATGAAAGAGGATATGCGTAATAAAGGAGTGGATTGATGACGACTGATAGAAATGTATGGAAGAGCAGATACGTGGCGACCCCTATAAGTACAAGTGCAAGTTGATGATGTAGTTTAACTCGGTAATTTAAAACCCTAAGAATTCTGGACAAATTTGATGGTGGCAACCCTACAGTTTACGGTAGAATGTTAGCATAGGTACGTGTTTCGAATTAAAATCTGATATAATACTGTGCCTATTGTTAGTATAGCCGATATCTTCTCGTCATGGTTACCTGTAACAAGGAAGTGCAAGATAAAATTTATTTACTTATAATTAACCCACTTGTAGCATGCATAATAAGAAAATTACAACGACATACAAGTGCATTATATAAATAAATAGATAGGCAATTGTTTCTAAATAACAGCTTTTGTTTTGTTTTTATGTTGGTATTTATAGTTAGATACTAATATTAGTTCGAAAACTCTGATGATGGATTCTTTTTGTTGAGATTATAAAATAATTATAGGAAACATTTATACATGAATTAGAGGTGAGGAAAATAAACAATATAATAAAGCAGAAATTACTTCTTAATCTATAAATCTTTTAAACAAAGATGTATTTCGTGACCTCTGTTTCTCTGTTAAGTTCTAACCTCAAAATGTATTTGTCGCAATCAGAAGAAGAAATCAATTTGAATTCAAGTCATAATTAGATCATTCTGAAAATAGGGATGGTTGCGAGAACATTGTTTGAAGGATATGAGCTTGGTAGATCGATGATATCCCGACTGAGGAGCATTGTGAATGTGTTCCTGGAATCCGACTTTACCCATGGCCGCCCACATGTGATCTCGAGTAGTAGTAATTCTGATATCGTGCTAGCTCAAGCCGACATATTTAATTTTAATGAACATGAAAAGTTCCTTTGCTACTATTTATATTCATTTGCCTCTCGTGAGAAACTTATACGGTCCGCTAGTTAACATACAATAAATATTTGACATTTAAACTGAAAAAAAAACTTTTGTACAAAACAATCCATTATTAATCCGGTTTACACTGCCACAATAGCACAAAATAATACACCTAAATAGTTTTACAAAATGTCACAACAATAATATGTAGATATACGTAATATATTTCTCTTTTTTGTAGGTTAGTAAAAGACAAACAATACATCTTTCGTAATCTGTATGTAGCACAATCGTATTATTAATTGACCTTCTTAAGACTGTATTTGTTTTGTTTTAGCCCAAATCGCAATAAATATTTAAATAGTCGGTTTCAAAAAGGCCTATTTTCAGATCTACATCACAGATTATATAATAATAATTAATGTTACTAAATATATCATATTTCATACTGTAAATGCGAAAATTTAGATGGATGGATGGATGTTAGATTTGTAGCCTTGCCTAAACGGCTAAACAGTTTTAGATGAAATTTGGCATAGATGCATACGATAGTCTGGAAGAACACATAGGCTACTTGCAGTTGTTTTTTTTTTTAATTTCGCGCGCGAAAGCTAGTAATGTATAACAATAATTAATGTTACTAAGACTCTCTCGATTTTATTCCAAGCAGGACTGATTTGACATTACTCGATTATCACATTTTTTTTTCTCTTTCAGCCATGGTTATCGCTGAATATTGGAAAGCGGACTACCTCTTTTGGGTTTTCCCCGCGATGATAGCCACCGGTCTACTCAGCGGCATCGGTCTATTGCTCATTCTACTGGGAATCAAGTTCTACGCACGGTATACTTGCGGGATGTATAAACGAAAGACCAAGATGGATGGGAAGACGGTGATAATAACTGGTTGTAATACTGGTATCGGCAAAGAGACTGCTAAAGACCTGGCTATGAGAGGTGCAAAGGTTATCATGGCTTGTAGGAATGTTGATATGGCGGAGAAAGTCAAAGGTAAGCCTTAATTAGCTGTCGCTTATATCTTACTAATATATATTATATGCGATTTAGATGGATCGATGTTTGTAAGAGTTTGTAGCCTAAACTGCTAAACGGATTTCGATGAAGTTTAGCATAGACGTAGAGGATAGTCTGGAAGAACACATAGAGTATTTGCTTTCGTTTTATTTTAAATCTACGTGCAAAGAGTAGCGAGCGAAAGCTAGTAATTTATAGTCTAAATCTATCTGTACCAAATTACATTTAGAATCGATCACTGTTCTTGAGTTAAATACATATATCCATCTAATATTACGTGTTGTAAACCAAAGTTCTTATTTTCTTTTTTCACAAGTAACAATTTTGTCTCTTTTTTCAGATGAGATCATCGATATTACGAAAAATAAAAATGTTATAGTTAAGAAATTAGATCTCAGTTCGTTCGCTTCGATCCGCGCATTCGCTGAAGATATAAACAAAACTGAACCTCGTTTAGATGTACTTATCCATAACGCTGGTTACGCAGACTTATTAAAGAAAAGAAAATCAGCTGATGATATTGAATTAACACTGGCAACTAATCATTACGGACCTTTTTTGCTCACTCATTTATTAATAAAACTATTAAAAAAATCTTCACCTTCCCGTATCGTTGTTGTCGCGTCTTCTTTATACCGCATAGGTTATTTTAATGTTAAAAACCCAAATCCGATAAACGATTTCTCTGGCTACCAATATTACGTATCTAAAGAGGCGAACATATTATTCACAAAGGAGTTATCTCGTAGATTAGAAGGTACAGGAGTGACAGTTAATTGCTTACACCCAGGTTTAATCGATACTGGAATTTGGAATTCAATACCAAGACCTTTATCTTGGTTCTGGAATTTAGTGATCAAAGGGTTCTTTAAAACGCCAACTGAAGGATGTCAGACTACTGTTATGTTGGCAGTAGACGAAGATCTGGTGAATACAACGGGAAAATATTTCTCCGATTGTCAAGAGAGTTCTGTATCAAGTGCTGCCAGTGATATGAAGAGGGCGAAAAAACTCTGGGAGGTATCAGAGAAGATTGTCAAATTGGATGAAAACGATCCTAGGATTTAATTTGAATCTCTTTTGTTTATTTGTTATCTGTGTAACCGAGTTATTTATAAAACATATATAATCTGTACTATTATAAAGAAGTTTTAATACTTATTGGATTGACTTAAAAATTACTGGGTCAATATAAAAAAAAGTCAGAAAGCTACTTTTTCCCTGAATAACACAGCCTGTATTTTTTTTAATTATAGCTGACAAAATCGCCAGCAAAATCTATCTCACATTTTTGTATAGTGAAATTCCACGATAATGCGTTTTTAAACTTGTTTGTTGTTTTTATTATGAATATATTTGAAATAAAACTCATTTTTATTAATACATTTACTAACTAATATTACAAACTAACATTTTAAATGAATATGTATAGAGAAATAAAGAAAGTTCATGACATAATTATACTATAATTAATAATTTATTTTAATTTGAACACAAACAATTATTTAGTTAAACATTAGTGAATTATGAATGAAATATGTCAGTAGAGTAGAAAGCGATAGTAAGAACGTGCGCACACCTTGGACTAAAATATCGCACGACTGTTTAGTCGCGTTGAGCTCATATATAGGTGCGCGTACTATTCGATTTTTAGTTATGCAAACAGTTGAACTGGTTGCGAACAATCAATCACAGTCGTGCGACAGTTTAGTCAAAGATGTGTGCCCGCTATAAAAAACAAAATATATTAGATTCATTTTGATCCTTTTCCAGGGATAGTAAACCAGTGGCACAGGAATATTTTAGATACGGAAGTGTTCACAAAGTTAATTATGCATTATGAAAGAGGTAATACAAATCCATAAGTTACAGAATGTCCCCTATATACAAAAGGTCAAACATTTTTGATAGTACGCCTATAACAATTTAACATTTCTTTAGGAAAAATCGCGCGTTAATCGTTAAAGGTTTGCAAGCCCTGCACTATTCTATTCTTTTAGTGTTTAGAATTTTGTACAAAATACTTTTAATTACACTGGGCCAAAACTTTTATTTAGCCTCGAATTAATAAATACAGATAATGAGTTACATGATACACTTGAAAAAAAATTAACTACCTAAATAAAAATGTTTGTGATCTATGCATTTCTAAACCATTGGACTTTTAATGAATCTTTGATAGCATCTTCTAAGAACGCCAGAAAAGGTTTATGAATAAAAAAGTAAACATTATTTTCACTTTAATGGAACTTTTTTAATTCAATATCTTGTTTATGACTTACTTCCAGTCTAATACCAGTTATCGTTTTTATTCTAATTTAGGAGAAACTGGCAACTGCTTTTTAGTTTTTTTGTTTAATAATTTTAGAGCCAGTCCTACCAAATTCTTGTAAATTATCAGATAACAATCCATCATGTAAAATATACGATGGAAATATTGGATTTTGTTAGTTTATCAGACAGTAATATCATTTTAAGCTATCTCAGCCTCTATCAGACAGTGGTGGGACAGGCCATTACTTGAAATAATTCATAAAACTTTGCTTGCACTTTAGACTCAAAGACCAGACATTTTGGCTTTACACACCATTGCATAGCCTTTTCAGTTAGTGGGTAATTAAATAAAGATTCTCTTATTCACTTTAACCAGTCCATTTTATCAGTCAATTACATCACATGAGTCCAAAAAGGTATGATCTACACCTAAAACTGTACCAAGACTCTGTCTAGTCCTTCTTAGTTGTTCATCATCCATATTTAAAAACCAATCTTCATTGAACGGCATATCAGGAGTTGCAGTCACTATATCTGGCAAAATAGTCGAAACTTGCTTACTGTTCTCTTCGACAATCGTTCTACAAACATTTTGTTCCGTTTCCATGGCAACCGCACGTACTTTCTTATAACGATTTATAATTTTCTCCAACGAATTTGTTTTAACTATAAGCTGTCCGTTCGTTTTTGGTGTTAAATTTGTTTGGACATATGGACTTTGGCTATCATAGTCTATTTCATCCATATTAAAGTTGACTGATTTTAAAATAGGACTCTTTTTGGAAAACGGTGTAATTATTACTTGGGGATTTGATTTATTCTCATGTTTAGGACTCTGTGGTGTATTGCAATTACTATTTTTATCTAAAATAGCGATTCCTGACACTTCTAAAAGGGAATTCGGACTATCTTCTTGCATTATAGATAATTTCCTCGGTCTTAATTTACTTAATGGCTTCCTCTCTACATTTTCGAAAAGATTCGGTGACGAATGACTTCGGAATAGTCCTCCACTTTCACTGGTAGATGATTCATTGAATAGACAACCTTTTTTTATTATCTCTGGCCTTTCCGTTCTATATTTAAACTTTTTAGAGCTACTTGTTTTCTTAGTTGACAGTAATCTTGTTATTTGTTGTGTAGTAAAACCGGAGGAACATTCTGCTATCGTTTCATTTACTTTATTACCATGAGATATTAAAGAGAAATTATGGTAATTTTGTGTAGCATTGGAAATATCATATAATTTACTTGATATGCGTGATTTAAGAAAATCATCTCGAGATACCGAGAATAATGTTGTTAATGATTTTGTCTGTGGTCCGTTGAAGTATAAATTTGCTTTTCTTTGTAGATTAAACTCATGTTTTGACATACGCATCGGTGTGAAGTTTTCAAATAAGAATTGCTTGTCTCTGTGTGTTTTCAGTATTGATAAATCGGGTAATGGTGGCATTTCTACAGCTTTCTTTGATTGCGTTTGACTCATGATTGTTCGGACTACCTGGAATTAAAATTGTATAAAATTAGACGATAGATCCTAAGGGGCTTGGGACCTAAATCTAAGGGTGACTTAACCAGTCAACCATGCTGGCCTAGTTCATGTTGATTTTACACATATACAAATTTCTATGTAGATGTGTGTCGGTAGAACCTACCAACATCAGGTAAATGTACATATTAAAATCGAAAAACACATGGAAAATGGTTAGATTTGAAATCAGAATCTGCAGATAACAAGTAAAGTTATTTAACCTTTGAGATCTCAATACTTCTGATGAGAAAATACAAATGCATTTAAATTTTATGTAAAAAAATCATTATTATGATGATATAGTGACATCTAGTTGGATAATAAAGAAATATCCTTACCGGAAGTTTAGATTCAGCATTTAAAACTCTCTCATTTAACATTTCCATTGCAGTCTTGATTTCGGAATAACTCTTAACCCCATTATCTAAATAATCATTAAATTTATCTATTTCATTGCCAATATTATTATTTTTTAATATATAACATATAGCTATGAGGAAACTACGTATCAAATTGGGATAATTCAATTTACCATCTTTCTCTATGTTTTTTAAAATATACTTTTGTTCAGTATTTACATATTGTTGGAGTTGTAATGTTGATATTGAGTCTGTTTGTGAGTTATATTCGACGATAAATAGATTTCTATCAACTTCACCAGTTCTTCTGCCTATTAATTCTTTACTATTATTTACCGCGGCTCTTCCTGAAGATAATAATGGTGTTATTAAAGATTCCCAATTAGATTCTAGTTCTGTTATTTTATTATCTACTTCTGTAAGCCTTACATCAAATAAATTGCTAGGTTTGTTTATATCCTTCATCTCTAATAATTTTTCTTTGACATGTTCATTTGGTTGATATTTATTTATGTATGTTTCGACTAAATTATCAAGAAAATTCTGTGAATTCGTTGATTTAAGAGTTGCTTCCATACTTGATATACCTTTTCGGAATAATTCAGCAATTTTTTCGTACGTTTTTCGCTTATTGAAACAATAATTTAATTCTCCAAACATTACTTGGGTTTCACTATCTATGTGTGTGTTAAAATCTTCATCTTTATTCTTATATTTGTCTGTCACTTTATTGTATGTTGTTTTTTGGCGGTCGCTCATTTTAGGCGTCAGCACACTTTGTACAGCCAATTGGGAGAGTTGGAATATAAGCATTGTTACCTTGTAACAGGCAGGATTGACCAAATATGACGACATTACGGGAGTTAATAGCCCCTTATTACTGTAATTGTTGATAAAATTTGAAATTTCACTTCTATACATCCTTTCGCTATTTGTATCGTATAATGGCCATGTAAATGAGGCTCCATGATCGATAATATTGACCAAATAAAACGACAAATGATTAAATAGGTTTTGTGTTGGCTTCTCAAGCCAGTTCTCTTTATTAATAAGTCGAGATAACTCGTGAGGTGTTGGATGAAGCTTGCTAAGAAGTTCAATATTTAACACAGTCTCCTTTTTTAGCGTTACGACCAAATCTCGCTGCTTTAAGAGTAACGCCATTCTCTATCACTATCCCCATATGACACACTGAATTCACGAAGTCCATAAATTAATTACTATAACTTTTGTGGATAACACGTATTAAACACATTAATTACTCATCATCCACATTTTTCCACTCATTTAAACTTTTACGAGATTCAAAACAATTTGTCAAGAAATTCCGTTGATCACTTTTTTTTTAATGCTCCGTGACGGTCAAAAGGCAAAGGCAATGCAATCATGAAGAAAGGTAAATCAGGATTTATAAGTTAAAAGTTAAAAAAATTATTAATGTTAAGAAGTGCATAAGAGAACCTTGTATTAGAATTTCGGTTTTACATTCATTTTAATCGATTAAAATAATGTGAATTACTCTTTTAAGATTAAAATGCATTTGGGATACTCTCTTGATGCTCTCTGGTCACCGGCGTGGGGAAGCGGTACCAAAGAGCACGATGCTTTGACAAGTTGACATAACCTCAAAATTTTTGAGGGGGTCGAAACAAAACACACGTGTTTTGTTCCCCTTGATAATTTAAATGTTATTTACAAATCGGAGTTAAAATGGTAAATAATTCAATTGTTATTAACTGTTGATTATGTTTAATTTTTCGATTTAAACCCAAATTGTAATTACAGAGTAAACTATACGTGTTGTATGAGCATAGCGCGGGGTTCGCGCTGTTTCGAGTGGCAGAGTTTGAAGAATTGGCAGCATTCCTGCCACAGGTTGAAGAATCAGTGACTGATTTACAAAGATTCAACTCGGTTGTTACATTAATCGCATTTCAACCATTCAAATCAGCTATAGTTGCGTTGGAAAACATAAATTCTATATCTGAAGGTTAGTAAACGTACCTCATGTTAAAATGATAATGAAAATTACATTGAAAGTTAATTTTCTTAATAATTAGGTAAATCCTGAATTTTTGACAAGTCTTCCTTCGATACTTTAAGATAGCAATTTGAAATACATTTAAAAAACTAATTCTAAGATACCTTTTAATAAAAAATAACATTACTACAGGTGTAGTCCCAGAAGATCTAAACTTGTTCCTGGAGGGTGCGCTACCCAAGCGCAAGAAGAGAGCTAAATGTACCCTAGGTGTAGCAGACCCCAAGCTGGGGGCAGCCATCAGCGAAGCACTGGAGATACCATGCTCACACACTGGTGCTGTGCCCGAACTCATCAGAGGTAATTTTTTATTGAACTTTGAACCAGAAAACATTGAGTAAAGTTTGAAATATTGTTTGTTTGTGTTTTTGTAAGTCACTACTACTATTTTTTTAATACAGCACAGACATATTTACAAAAACTAGCTTTTTCTACTGACTTACTTATATGGTTTAAATTTTTCTAAACATAATGTCAATATTTCTCTATTCCTGGAAGGGTTATAGCATAGATAGTAATTTGAAAACTTTTAAACTTTAGAGTAATATATCATTTAGTTTATAATTATTTTTAATATTTGTCAGTAGCTGATAAGCTCTCAATATATCCTCACTGAGGGGCTTGAAAGCTACCATAATAGGCAATATGCATATGACGCCAAATTGTACCAAACTTTTTTTAAGTAAACTTTATTACTATAAAAACATTCCTGCAAAGATTTTTTAAAATATAATGCAATTTAGTGGCAAAATTTAATCATTAAAAAGTGTCTTTTTTCAAATTCTCTCGCTAAGTTCTAAAATGCACACTATTGGTCGAAGCAAGTGGCTTATCTAATACGGCGTCGATGTGTTGACAATACACAGTTCATTTACGTTAGTTTATATAGAAATACACTCTTGAAGTATTTTACTGCAAACACGATATCAAAACCAACTTTAAAATAAAAGATTAATGAATAGAATTATTAATTACCACCTATTTGTACCAGGAATAATAAAAATGAATCGATTTTTGACTTTTTGACCTTGAGAAACTTTGTTGTGTTTTACGTCGAAGTGAGCGTATGTTATGAATGGAATAGACGATTGACGTCAATCGTCTCTTGACAACTCCGGTCGCGTTTTAGTCGCTCGAAAATAAAAAAAAAAAATAAAAAAAAATAAAATTTTTAGCTCAATGGTTGAATATTTTCGCGTCAATTTTTTTTTTGTGGTTATTTTATAACAAGTAGAATCGTTCAAAAAAAAGAAAAAAATACAAGCATATTCCCTATTTAAGGACTAAGGATATTCACTGCCTCAACGCAGGTTTACAACATATTTTATATTTCTTCAGAGATAAATACCAGTTACATTACTTGACTTCACCATATCAGAATAATCATTTTTTAATTTCTTACCATACATTTTATTCTATATTTTCAGGTATTCGTCATCACTTCCATGCTCTGATCAAAGGGTTAACATTAAAAGCTTGCAGTGTAGCCCAGCTTGGTCTCGGACACTCATATTCCCGTGCCAGAGTCAAGTTCAATGTGCACAGAGTTGATAATATGATCATCCAGTCTATTGCACTGTTGGATCAACTTGATAAAGATATTAATACATTCTCTATGAGAATCAGGTAGGTTTAATTTGTGTCTATATTACTATACTAACTGTTCCAGTGCCGTTACAATCACATTAAATAACAGAAACTTTGTTTTATAGTTTATATTTATCAAAATCTCAATTGCAAATGTCAAAATACAAATTACCTCACCATGGCAATCTTGCTTCCTTGATGTTGGCAGCAACTTATGGTCTTTTTCCCACATTGAGGTTTTTATCAAAAATATTTACCCCCTAAGTTTAATGGCGTAAAAATATATAGCCTAAAGTGTGATGTAAGTGTAGGGCTTTTTATTAAGAAAGGAATTATTCAAAAAAATGCTGTAATTGCTGACATCTTAGGCAAAATACCTGTGTGTTTACGTTTTATTTTAATAGTATAGATTGATATTGTAAAAAGGAAAGGTTTTTGTATGTATTGTAATAAAGCAAAAATGCTGAATGGATTGCAAAAACATTTACATACAAACTTTTATTTCTATTAAATTGAAGTTTTTTTTACTATTATAAGGTGACAAATGGGTAAGTGGCCACCTGAAATTCATCAAAATAGCGAAGCCACCGCTATCTATTGACATCCTCATTTGCCAATTTGCCAACAAAAGCAGCAATTTCTCATATCTACGCCCATTCCCCAAAAAATCCACTCCCTCTGGTACTAAAAACTACGAAAAGGGGATGAATACTAAAATTAGACTTAGATTCAATTAGTTTTTTTTCTTTCAGAGAATGGTACTCATATCATTTCCCGGAGCTTGTCAGTATTGTACCTGAGAATCATTTGTACACAAAATGTGCAGAATATGTTAAAGACAGGAAGTCTCTCTCCGAAGAGTCTGTGGAGCCGCTGACCGAGATCCTGGGAGACTCGGAGAAGGCTCAAGCAATTATTGATGCATCTAAAATGTCAATGGGCATGGATATATCTCCCGTTGATTTGATTAATATACAAATGTTTGCTGGTCGAGTTGTCGCGCTTAGTAACTACAGGTAAATAAATCCTACTGATAATTACATCACCAGCTCCACTATACGTCCCTACCGAGGGGCTCGGAGCCTACCCTAAATTAGGGTGATTAGGCCATTGTCAACCACGCTGGCCTGCGGGTTGGTCGACTTCACACATATCTTTGAATTTCTTCGCCGATATGTGCAGGTTGCATCACGATGTTTTCCTTCACCGTAAGAACTTCGGGTATATTATGTACATATGAATATTCGAAAAATCGAAAATCACATTGGTACAGCGGGATTCGAACCCAAGATCTGTAGATTATAAGTCAAGTGTTCAAACCACTGAGCCACCGACGCTCTTACTAATAATTTAAATGCAAAAATTTAGAAGGATGGATGTTTCGTACAATTTGTAGCCAAAACGGCTGGATGGATCTCGATGAAATTTGTCATAGATGTAGAGGATAGTCTGGATGAACTATTTTTTTATTCCATGCTAATGGATTTGTAGGCGAAAACTAGTCTAAATAAAAATATATTCATATACAATATTGATATGATAAATATATTAACAACAGGAAACAGATAGCGGAGTATCTGCACACTAAGATGAACTCTGTGGCTCCGAACCTGACCACCCTGATCGGAGACCAGGTGGGAGCGAGGCTCATCTCCAAGGCAGGGTCTCTCACCAGCCTCGCCAAGTACCCTGCGTCCACACTACAGATACTGGGTAAGGGAGCTTTGATATATCATCATCACCAGCTCACTGTCTCCACTGAGGGGCTCAGAGCCTAAGGGAGGGTGACTAGACCTTAGTGACTTTTTTTATTATAAATAAACCAGCGCTTGACCACAATTCCTCCTAAACCTGACTTCACACATTTCTTTGAATTTCATCATTCAGCCGCATCTGTTCATCAGTTTAGATTACAAACACTAACAAACTTCCATCCAAACTTTGTCTTACTAATATTATAAATGCGAAAGTTTAGATGGATGGATGTTTGTTATAGTTAGTAGTCTAAACGGCTGAACGGACTTCGATGAAATTCGGTATAGATGTAGAGCATAGTCTGGAAGAACACATAGGATACTTACTTTTGTTTTTATTAACTCGACGCGGACGGATCCGCGGGTGAAAGCTAGATTGTAATGAAATGGTATTTGTTACTTCAAGGTGCGGAGAAAGCATTGTTCCGTGCGTTAAAGACTCGCTCGAACACGCCTAAGTACGGTCTGTTGTACCACTCCACGTACATCGGGCGCGCGGGGCTCAAGAACAAGGGCCGCATCAGCAGGTACCTCGCCAACAAGTGCTCCATCGCCTCCAGGATTGACTGCTTCTCCGGTAAATATTGCACACATCTAATAATAATCTATGTTTGAAAATTTTAAAAAGAAACTTCGTTTTGGTATCTTTTTATGTGTAAAAAACTCAAAAACTACTGGGCCAATTTAAAAAATTATTTCCCTGTTTAGCTATCTTATCAGTGAGTAACATAGGCTATGTTTTTTTTAATTTAACTCTAATGTAGTTATGAACAAAAGCTAGTCAATACTAATGTAATAAAGAGATAAATAACTCAAAAACTACTGGGGGCAATTTTAAAACATATTTCATCATTAAAATGCTATGTTGAGTTGTATGATTGTTGAGTAACATAGACTAAATTTTATAATTATTTTTTATTTCGGTTGGATGAAGTCGCTATAGACAAGACAGTAAACTAAATCTTTTTCACTGGTACTTTCTCTGAACGGTGCTATATATACCGATATAAAATGACCGTTTTTTGGGAAAATAAAACACTAATTATTAATGGGAAAGTAAAAAATATTTCATTTAAATTATTGGTCATTGTTTTCTACACATTTTGACCACCTTTCTGGTAATTTGTGGATACCACGCCTTAAAAAAATTCTTCGCCCCTGAAATTACAAAATCTGTAGTCTGTTATTCACAGATAAATTAACTTTCTAATGGTGAAAGAATTTTTAAAATCGTCCCAGTAGTTTTTGAGTTATTTCAATAAATACAAAAACACAAATCTTTCCTCTTTATAATATTAGTATAGATAAGAACGTATATATTATGCAATGATGTTTCTTCTCTTGAAAAAGCCTCTTAAATATCAAACGTGGTTAAAAATCAATTTTTAAAGTAGGGGCAGATTTGTAAAATATATATGAAAACCATTTTCAATAAGATATATTAATTTCCTTGCACATCTTGATCTATCGCAAAAGCTGTCTTTTGTGGTAATAAAAATGTGCTAAAACAAACGCTAAATGTTCAAAATACATTATTATAGTAATTATGTATCGAATTATGGCAACATTTACTTTATCAAAAATTAATTTATTTCTTGATGCAATATGCTTTATCTTGTAAATCGATTTGTTTAAGAATTTATATAAAATTTGAATTTTTAAATAAGAAACCGATACAATTTACATGAGAGTCGAATAACAGAAGACAATTGCTCTTCCCTAAGTCGAAAATTAAAAAAATATATATATTAATCCAAAATACTAAGGTGTACAATCAATCTTATTACTATTTGATTAAAACATTACTTTAAAAAATAAAACAAAATCAAACTAACCCTGAAGAAACAATAAACAGTGAAGGAAAACATCGTGATGCCTGCACATATCGGCGAAGAAATTCAAAGATATGTGTGAAGTCAACCAACCCGGACTGGGCCAGCGTGGTTGACTATGGCCTAGTCACTTACTTGGGTAGGCTCCGAACCCCTCGGTGGAGACGTATAGTGAGCTGGTGATGATGAAACTAAACCATCCTTATTATATCCCCTAAATCCATCGCTTAGCAACGTCCATAACATCAGTTTTTATGTAAATCTAATTTTTCATTACAGAAACTCAAACAACAATATACGGTGAAAAACTTCGCCAACAAGTCGAAGATCGTCTTAAATTCTACGAAACTGGAGATATTCCTATGAAGAATATAGACGTTATGAAGCAAGCTATGGAAGAAGCGATGCAGCAAGAACAGCTCAGCGCAGAAGGAAGCGCTAAGAAGAAGAAGAAAAAGAAGAAGGCAAAGAAAGAGGAACCAATGGATGAAGATTGACATGTTTTCTGATTTTTTTTTCTTTTTTTATGTAAGGGTATAAATATAAGTAAATAAGCTATTATAGTGTTTTATTAATTTTTTATAATATCCTAATCTTGCATATTATACCTATTATTAAAAAGATATAGACAGAGTATTCGATTAGCGGATATAACTCCAGCTAGGGACCACGAAAGTATGAGAAAGTGACGCGCCCTTATAAGACGAGATGTAGTAACTATGACAAATTTTGTCAAAATTCCAGTATGTTGTCCTAATTTTCATTATACTTTCCGAATCGTTGAAATTTATGAGAATGCGTAACATATCGAAAATAGTGATAAGAATAAGCAGTGGGCGTTAAACTAAATCTATAGTAATATAAAGAGGAAAGATTTGTATTTTTGTATCATTGAAATAACTAAAATTATTGAGCCAATTTAAAAAAACTATTTCACCAATAAAAGTGATCAGTGAGTAACATAGGCTGTATTATTTATTATTATTTAATTTCACGCGGGTCAAGTCGCGAGCAATAGCTAGTTATAATTATGACAGTTCACTAACACAGCCCTGCCAACGTCAAAAAAAGTTTTATTTCAATGTAGTTTAGAAAAAACTGATTTTTTAATAGTCAGATTCATGGATATGAAATTGATTTTTTAATTAGGGATAGTTATTTTTGTAAATCAAACACAATTTAATTTATATCATTTTATTTAAGAACTTTTAATAGCAAAGCTGCCGTTACAATTGATTCTGACATTAATATTGACAGCCGCGAGCTGAGTCACAAAGAACTTGAAGATATACGGGATGTAGACTGACGCGAACTTGCCCTGGCCGCAGAGACGACAACTGTCGTTATTGCTGTCTCCCTTACTCAACACGGGACCAAGCAACGTGCCGCATTTCGTACATATTACAGCCTGGAAAAAGGAGTCAATTAATATAAGTTTGTCTCTTTCTCTCACCTTATTTACCTCATTGATCTAAACTTTCTTCTCTTTCACACTCTATCTCATACTTTCCTTTTCTTTCACACATTAAGACTAACTACACCTCTCTCTTTCACTGGTAACTCAAGTTTCTTTACCCGTCATCATCAGATCACTATACATCTAAATTAGGGTGACTAGGTTTTCCTTCACCGTAATAACGTCGGGTAAATTATATACATGTGAAATTCGAACGAAAAATTAAAGACGGGATTCGAACGCAGAACCTAGATTACAAGTCAGGTGATAAAACCCCTAATCCTACGACATTTACAATCTGTATCTTTTCTCCTCCTGTTCTCTCTTACCTCGCTCTTATCCGAGCAGTCGAAGAGTCTGTCCTGCAGCAGGAAAGCCGCGCCGTGTGAGATGAGAGCGTCTCTCTCCATCTCCCCCAGTCTCACACCGCCACCTCGTCTTCTGCCTTTCACTGGCTGTCGGGTTAAAGTATCCACTGCGCCCGTTGTACGCACCTGGAATAAATTAAAAAAAAACTCATATAAAATAGTAAAAAAATCGTCTATAGTAAAAATTCTCATATAAAAATGCATAAAACTAACAGAATGTTAGATAGGATATATGTATTTATTTATTTTTATTTTATTATACATAATATAATGTATACAGTTACATTTGACATTTGTATACAAATTGACCTTGTCTTGGATTCCCTATGGAGATAAAACTGTCAAAAGACATTGTATTTTTTTATACATATTACTGGGCTGATTTAAAATTTTTCACCATTAAAAAGCTGCGTTATTAGTAACATAAGCTACATTTTTTATTACTATCTAATTCCACAAGAGCGAAGCAGCTGCTAGATAGTGTACAACTGTCTTATGACAGATCTATACAATATGTATACAACTGTCTTATGACAGATCTATACAATATGTATACAACTGTCTTATGACAGATCTATACAATATGTATACAACTGTTATATGACAGATTTATACAAATACAATATGTATACAACTGTCATATGACAAATCTATACAATATGTATACAACTGTCTTATGACAGATCTATACAATATGTATACAACTGTCTTATGACAGATCTATACAATATGTATACAACTGTCTTATGACAGATCTATACAATATTCATACAACTGTTATATGACAGATTTATACAAATACAATATGTATACAACTGTCATATGACAAATCTATACAATTTATACAATATGTATACATGTATACAA